TAGCTCTGTCCTCATTGGCTGAGGACAAAGATGTCACTATATTCTCACAATGAGCTTCTTGACACATTAGCTAAATTAAGATTCAGAATCTGTTAATTTGTGAATTCAACCAAATTTGATAAAATTGAGTGTTTTACAGTAATCGAGTACGAAAATTAGTCAATTAAGAACTTTAATCGCCAGTGATGTATTAACACTGTTGTTGAGGCAAGAAAAAATTAAAAGAAAGTGTATTTTGAATTTATAACTTTATTTCAAGCAATTGATCAAAGACAGTTAACATGGATATTAGGTGTTGACATCACCCAGCTATGCAAATATTGATTATACACCCCATCGCCAGATAAGATGGATATATATAAAGTCTTGATTACATATTGATTTGTAATATTGCATTGACATAGTCACTACTGACTGACTACAAACTCTCTAGTATTAACAAACTCATTCATGTATGTTTTGCATAAATCTACTGAGCATATTATCGCTATGCATTATGGGAAAAAAATCATTGAGTTCATGTCAATGACAGCATATCAGTTTTTCAGTTTATGTTACCTAAAATTATTTGAAAGTACATTGAATAATGAAATATTATCACCATGGAAACAATGAAAAAACAAAATAAATTGAATATTACATTTCTCACATAATAGTACTGGTACTGTTTACACTACAAAAAGTATGAGATAAAATTTAAGCTAATCTTATATGTTTGCATATCGGATAGACCCAATTGCGTTCATGCACAGGATGAAACATGGTCAAAACAGGCTAAGGAATGCCCAATCTTGCTACGAATATACAAAAATCTTCTTAAAATTACTCTGTATACTAGGAAAGTATACATGTCAATTCTAAGGTTATAAAAAAATACCAAAGCAAATTCAGAAAGAACGAATTGCATTGATGCATGTTTTCGTAGCACAGGCTAAGGTATTTGACCTCGTAGCCCATGCTAAAGACTTGTGCATGAACGCTACTAATGTAGAATCTACTGATTATTCACAATAGTGCCTGATGACACCGACAATATTTACTAAATACCCATATTTCTGAAGGTTGAAACTAATTCGAATTTTTCAATTCAGTCTGTGCCTCTGTAAAAACTAATGATAGAAATGTATTTGATTATACCAATTATGAAGTTTTATTTTAACAAAATTTGGTTCTAAATCAGTTTATTTCAATCATTACAGTATGATAAAGTTGATATTGATATTGGTCAATAAATATGTTGACACCACTCTGCACACTGTTCCATTCATTCATAAAAAAAAAGCATTAGCTCGGTCTGTCAATCTAACTACATGAAGACTCACTTCTGAAATATATGAAGTCTGAAATATATATTGTTTAAAAGGCAATTTTACTTGTCCTAGGCTGTAGGAATACCCTTAGTGTCAAGTCCTGACTAAATTGCTACAAGAATGCTCATAGTACATACATGTAAATGTACATGTACTATCATCTGTCAATCACATGTCATGTAATAACATTCCAATTCAATTATGATAGATAATACAATATTACACAAAATAATTATAAAAGGGGCATACTAAACTAAAATATAGTTTATCTTCCATGTACCCAATATAAAAAATGAGCTATACTATAATACAAATTAGTTTGCCTTTACTATAGGTTCATATGGCAGAGATATTTACAATATTTCAAATTGTGGACTCATAGCATGAGGTGAACAAAATTATTATATTGTTAATGATTGGTTACTTATTGTTCTTTTGAATTATTTGAAAAATGTAGGTTTTAATTAAAAAGTGTTAAAAAATGCTATTTTTCTTTACCATTGTGTTCTATGGAATTGTTCTAAAAATAGTGATTTTTGAAAATATTGAGACAAGTTTCCCAAAATACATCACTGGAACACATAAGGGACAACATCAAAAGTTCAATGTAGGATAACAAACTTAATTCATTTAGTTTTTCCCAAACCCCCCTACCCCCCACTGAAACTTAATTGATAAATATTGACCATGGTGTCAGACTAGATTCACCATTAAATACAAATTGATAATCCGACAGTAGTATGACATAGCAGTTGGTTGTCGGGTGGTGTAAAAATACTTTACACTCGGACCAAACCATTTTCTCGTCTTGAATGTTTGTTTTTTTCATTTTCTGTTATTTTGTCCATGATTGGATAGAAAAAAAAATAAAAATTACAAATACTCCAAAAATTTGTTGACTTCATTAAAAAATAAAATCGTTTTTGTAGGATAGAAACTTTTTGAGGTCAAAACCCCCCACCCCCAAACTAAAGCAAATAAGTTTTTTATCCGACATCAATCTTTTGACGTCGTCCCGTCGTCCCTAAAAGAATGTTATATCTATTGGTGCCATGGGATATTGGCATATTAAACCAATAAACAATATCCTGCAATTTTCGCAAAAATTATGATATAGGCTTCTTTCTACCTCATTAAGATGCTGACTCATGACATTAGATGAAATACAAGCATGACACTAGTGTAACCCTATAGCTTCTATATACAGTAATGTCTAACTAAAATGATAATATAATTTGCATATAATCAGGATAACAAATGAATTTTTGTTCACCCATTTAAACGTATTACAATTGAGGGTATCCCCAGGTACACACTCAGGGCTTTTTTACAGGGCTTCAACAAGAGGTGTGTGGTGGCCCTGAAAAGGACTATTTAGTTTGTGCTCACTCACATTAATTTCACTGTTCATGGCAAACATCACAGTATGTTTCACTCTTTCTGTTTGGGTATTACTCATGATGAAGTCAATGTTGCATTATTGAAGTAACTCATATCTTTTTTGTCATGAAACCTTGTCAACTGTCATTTTATTTTTCTGAATAATCATTGTGTCCATTGTGACCACTATACCACTAGAAGTGTACAAATTGGTGGTCCATCCAGACTACTAGAAGTTTACAAGTTGGTAGTCGATCTAGACTACTAGCACTTTACAAATTGCTAGTCCATCTACATTACTAGAATTCACAAATTGGTAGTCCATCTAGACTTACTAGTCGTTTACAAATTGGTAGTCTATCTAGACTTACTAGTCGTTTACAAATTGGTAGTCTATCTAGACTTACTAGTTGTTTACAAATTGGTAGTCCATCTAGACTAGTTTACAAATTAGTAATCCATCTAGACTAGTTTACAAATTGGTAATCCATTTAGACTAGTTTACAAATTGGTAGTCCATCTAGACTACTGAAAGTTTACAAATTGGTAGCCCATTTAGACTAGTTTACAAATTAGTAGTCCAAAGTTTACAAAAAATAATAAGTTAATCTCTATATTGTTATAGCAGTCTGATGTAGGGATAGAGATAATCTGTTTCATCTTATTTTAATCTATAGTTCCCTTGTTACCTCAAACAACATAAGCGGTAATCCTATGATGATTGAATCCACAGGTGAACGTGACGAGGGAAATGAGCATCTAGTAGATTGGTTACCTCAATAACCACAAGATAAAATTGAGAAGATCAAGTTCCAATCCTGTGGGTTGTGCATGATAATTAAACATGGTATTGCTTAGCAACCAGAATATTATAGTCATATGAGTAAACCAGGTAAATTGCTATGCTCATTTGCATAGTATAGATCCTCATCAATTAACCCTCCCACCCCCACCTCCAATGTTTAGCTAGACAAAAAACAACAGCAGGGTTAATTAGATATATTCTCAAGTAGCCACAAATCATAATGGAGTTGTTATTCAAAAGGCAAATATCGGTATGAATTATTTATCAGTTTGTGAATGTGTACATGTAATATTACCATGGTGATTGCAATGTGTTTTTTTGTATCAGTAGCGTATTTTAAATAATGTAACTTGGTATTTATTATAAATGTATGAAGATATAGAATCTACAACAGTAAGGTGTTGTAATTTAACAAAGCAAAAAAATATATATTTTTTTTAAATTATAAAATATTTTTCATGATTGAAAATATTATACATGTATTTTATGTATCATACAGCGAAAAATACGCAGTTGTAATAATCCAGTAATGTATTGTATATATAGCGTACGGGATCTATTATATAAATTTCCGGCGAAATGCGCTGACGGTGATATTTAAATTTTCATAGTAATGATACGGCACTGTCAAACACTTGCTATAAACGGCTGAGTATTGCATCAGGAAACTCATTATTTGGTGGATAAACATCAATATAGTTTAAAATGTACGGTTGTTGCCTTCGTTGAAAAATCTGTAGAAATGTCACATACACTTCGTGTCATGTTATTATCAGGAATTTCAGTCACGGTTTTAGCGTGATCGTAAAACGGTGGACAAGATACGAGAAGATAATTGTCACTAACACAGGAGTACTAGACACAAAACAATTGTCTTACCTGTCTTCACCGTCTGCAAAATGATCGCCTAATACTAGGTCTCTAAATCGATACCTTGGGGGCAAAGGAGGCACTGCCCCATCGACTAGAACCTCCGCCATGATGACCACAACAGTGACGATATCTTATGTCACTCTCACCGTCGACGGTGTCACTCAGTCGTTTACTAAACCCCAAAGAATGCCAACTATAACGCCGTCACTAATCTCGTTGACATCAGAGTATCTTCCCAAGCTTGGTAACTGTTCTAGTATAACATCATTCTACAAAATCTACAACTCGGCGTATCGTCACATTAAATAGGTTTGACGACGAAACTGTTGCTGACGATTACGGCCGCGATTTGCAGATAATAAATAATTTCTATAAACTTAGGGGTCTCTTTGTTTTTTTAATGGTTATACGTTTGGTGTCAAGTTCTTGGTCAAAATCACCTACACAGTATCGCCATGCCTCGCCGATATCGGGCTTTCCCTAATTCCTAGATATCGGAAATAGCCCTTTTTTCATAGTTCAGGGTGTGATTTAATTATATTCAAGTTATTGTGTAGTATACTAGTATTGTGTTGTATTGTAATATGTGCTTCGCATTTTGTTTAGCCTTCACCGTGACGGTCTTCCATTTCATGAAGGACCAGACTTAATATAGTAAATTACAAAACAACTCTAATATAAATTAAACAAATAACTTACCTTTTTACCTTACCTTTTATTACTTTCAACCAAAAATGAATTTGTAATTTCATTACGGTGTAATAAATCTGTATTATTATTAATATTATTATTAATAACAACATATGAAATTCACAGATACAAATTTTAAATACTATTAATACAACTTAAAAGTCCATTCAAAATGTTCAAAGCATCCAAGAATTTTCTGCAACTCTACCATACCTAGGACGATTTTGTTTCCCTGTCCCTGGAAGATCGGAGTGATCTACTGGTACTAGCTGGCCCCTAGCTGGTTAAATATAGAAGTGACCCGCGTGCCGAGTATTGTCATTATTGTTTGTTTTTCGTTTGTTTTTGTTTTAATCTAATATAGGCAGTTGCTAAGTCAATACTCGACCATATAAAGTCGAGTACAATGTTGCATGCTGGTTATGTTTTTTTTTTTACTGACGGAGTCCAATTTAACTTGGCAAGTAACGTATTGGTTAAATCATGGTCATGTGTTCGTTACGGCATATGTGAATAAAGCACGAGCCCCGGACGCGAGCTCGAAGCGTGTGTGGTGCTGTAACCACCAAGTGAAAAGAATTCGACTAATTCTTCCTATGATTGTCGCGAAATATCGTTTAGCCAATTCACCGTTGACGGGCGGTGGCCAACTGAATTCAATTATCGTTGTGAATACGCATAGCTCATTTTCTAAATTTGTTGCATATACCGACGATACTTTTCACGTT